GCCAAGCCAATGCTCAGGGACGAGGGCACAGGCAGCAACGAACTCATGGACCGGCACTTTGCCGGGATTCGGGTGTTTGCTTGTGGGCGACCCCAAGGCGGAATCCCATAACCCCCAACATTTTAAATTTCGTCGCCAACCGAGCAAACGTGACTCTCCAGCAGCTTGCCACAACACAAGATGACTGCAAAGCGGTCTTCCCCACCAGCTATGTATACGGCAGAAGAAGACTCTGCAAGATGAGTCTCCCACTCGCTGGTTGCAAAGAGGTATTCTGCAGGTTGTAATTTGTTAGGATAATTCCCCGACAGCACAAAACACTTGAACTTCCAGACAGCCCGAGAGGCGGGCGCAAACGAAAGCAAACAGCAACAAACACAACGAGGCAAAAGGTACGTTCCGACGGTATCACGAAAACGAAGGAACAACCATGAACGAAGCGAAAGCAATCAGCAGCAAAAAAGAGCAACACGCTCAGAAACAGGAAAGCGACACACGATAAACACGGATCTGAGCGCAAACGGCGATAAGCAGGAAACTATGAGCAAACATCCAGGGTTGCTTTAAAAATAGAAGCCAGAAGCTAAAAGCCCAAGCAAGAAGCCCGAAACCGTAAACAAGCCAGGACCTGGCGACAACTTGCATGTGTCACAACTTTTATGAAACAAAAGCACCACTCCAAAATACGCCTCATAGATCAGCATGATAGCCTGCCTATATTATCCATTGTAGTTCCTTTTTGGGAATCCTTAATATATCGTTGGTTAAACCATAACAGGAACCACAATGGAGACGAATGTAGAAACCTAAATAATTAGAATAGGGTTTGGGGGTATACTACACTATACTTATAATAAGGAGCCCCCAAAGCCCTATTCTAATTATTAAGGCCCCTATACTGCGGGTGCTGTTCAAACGATCAAAACCGGCTGCGCTCACCGGGTCGGCAGCTGCAGGGCAGACCAAGTGGATATAACAAATAGTACGGCTTAGGCTTAATGTAGGTGCCTTAAATTAATTATTAGAATAGGGGTTTGGGGCCCATTATGCTATACTTATAACAAGGAGCCCCAAAAGAATATAGGTAATTATTAAGGCCCCTATATTATAGGCTGTTCGTCCCGAAGCCTAGTAACCCTAAGCTTTCTTATGGCCTTATGAAGAAAACAACACCCAAGCTTTGTCGTGGCCGGCCTCCCCAGTTTTGCTTATCCTAAATCTGTGCGCAGTAGATCAACCCTGAGCCCCAAGGGTCCCGAACCTGGGTTACTAGATGTTACTAGAATAGGGATATGTATTAGTAAATCATTTAATAGGGTTTCCTAGTAAATAATTTAAGAGGGTTTCCTTATTATAGCAGCTTAGTTTAAATTCCTGAGCAACAACCCCGAAACCCTGCCTGTGCAGTCCCTGCGGGTCTTCCGGGTGGACCTTCTGCTTCCTCGGGAGTCAGTTTAGGGGTTTCGCTTTCACAGCTCGGACACTGCCAAACGAGGTTTCCCGGGTCGGCACGAAACTACCGGTTTAGGGTTTAGGGTTTTTCAATCACCCTAAACCCTAAAAGCCTTCAGTGCTCTAGGGCTCTTCCATATTGTGAAGGAAACACAACAACCAGTCGAACTGTTCCCCCTCATTATATCGTTGTCCACACATCTTTCTAGATTCCTACCCGCTGCAGCGGCCGGCAACTGCACTCACTCCATATTCTGTAAATGCTTGACAAATAATGACTGAGTTTTTTATATATCAAAAATACAGACAAATACATACATATACATATCTATATCTATGTCTATATCTATATCTATATCTATATCTATATCTATATTTATATCTATATATACATATATATATATATATCAAACGATGTACACGCATATAAGCTTCTAGGTTGACGCCCGGCACAGGAAAATTATGTCGCTCGAAGCAAGATACGTGGCTCGCAAAGCTCTCCTGGCTATGCCCCTATATGGCTGGATACAGAGCTTATAGAATTGTATGGTGTGGGGTTCCCTAGTTTAAGGTTCTAAGGATGAAGCTGGTGATTGAGGGTTCCCCCTGTGCCTCGCTGGGCAAAATTGATCTCCCCATGAAAGAGAGTAATGTGTCGCAACTCGAGCACACAGAACCCAAGCCCACAAACACAGCTCTAGGATCTTATAGAACACTGGTCACCTTAAAGCCTTGCTCGAATTCTAATATTACTACTCTTGGGGGAGCACACTTTGTAGTTGGTCGTCCAGGGGATCATGGTGATGCTCTTGAAAAGTTGGTCAAACTCTGCACTGCCTTTTCTTTTGTCATTGAGTAAAAATGAACAGAGTCTCGAAGCCACCGGAATCCCACTTTCATCGTTACTAGAACCTACTTTGTCGAAACGACGTCTTTACACCCGCGCAAATATGAACATGTTGTGCGGACCCTGCAGCAAATTCGGTTCTTGTAGGTCAAAGTAGAGCATGCACCCGTACATCCAATCCAACAAGTCCTCCCTCAACTACAGGCCATTCTGAATCCTAAACCACACCCTTAACAACACCTAGAATTTTCATTACATAACTCCTTAGGGCACCTACAAAAACCACAAGGCTATAGCTTAACCAGCTCGCTGGCTCGGTCCCTCTAAAATCGACCCTAAGCCCTAGACCCCTAAACCCCTAAACCCTAAAAAAGGCTCTACAGTGGCTACCCCGGAGAACCGAGGTCCGGAAGTACGGGGCTCCTTGAGCCCTACACCGGCTCAGGGTTTAGGGTCTAGGATTTAAGATTTAAGGTTTCGACTCTCACACTCGCACCAAGGCCGGCAAGGCTCCGCATAGTTCTGTCTCCACTCCACTACGAGATCAGTCAGAGGGTTTCACAACTGCATTCATCAAACGATACGTACATCACAACAGTTTTCAACAAAAGATACGTACCTAAGCAGGGCAAGTGCGAATCAGTTGCAACCCCTCGACTGCTGGGTCGAGCTAGTGCTCGCTGTTTCAAAAGAGCATTCGATGTCACCACACCATACAGGCTAACCCGGCAGCAGTTGTCCATCAAGTACACAACAGTAGCTTGGGTGGGCATGCAGTGAACTCATGTATTCCAGGTTATACACACCAAATTCCCGCATTCAGTCGGTCTCAATTCTCACCTGCTTCATCGAGTCATGCAGTTGCCTTCACACTGTCGGAGCAGGTTCAGGTAGTCGTCAATTAACGTTGCACCAATGTAACATGCAGACACGCATTGCCCATGCACTTCGGGTCATAGACAAAACTTGATCCGAGCACGAAACTGCTACGGCCTCATGCAGGATACACTCCTCCAAAAGTTCATAAATTCAAGAATTCCAAAACGAATTCATGAATTTACTTCCAATGTGAGCTCCAGCATTTGTAGGAGAGCAGTGCCGGCACCATAGGGGCAGGATTATGTAGAGACCTCGTATGCACCTGTTCAATGCTCGTGCGTAGGCCCCTGTTCTGTCACAGTTCAAGCCGCGACCCCCTGAGGTAATCCACGGGGTTGTCAAGCCTTGCATCCGCATAGAGGAACCATGTGCGAAAGCGGGTCCTCCAACACAGACCCTTGACAATCTCTTGCAGCGTGTCCTCACAGTCAGCAAAGTCCTCAAGTCTGATCGGCACGTATCTTGCTTCACAGACTCTTTCCGACTCTTTCCAAATGCCGCCAGTACGCACGAACCAGGGGCATGTCACTTACCTCATCAAGTTGCCTCAATGCCTCAATGAGGGCCAGCAAAAATGTATTGCCACATACGACGCGCTCCCTGGATCCAGCTCAAACAGAAAATTCCACAACGGCTTGAGCCAAAAAGGATTTAGGCTTTAGGGTTTAGGGCTTTGGATTTTGGGTTTAGGGTTTAGGGGTTTAGGACTTAGGGTTTAGGATTTAGGGTTTAGGGTTTAGGGTTTAGCCTATATTCATATGTCAAGTTGCAAAGCCTGCTGGCAGGCTGATTTCAGCTTGTCGATAAGCTTTGGAACTTCAGCATCGGCGTCCTCGGATTCAGTTTCTTGTGCCAATATACCTGCCCCAACATGTAGAATACCGTTTGAGGAGGTCCCCTAAATATACGTATGTAATGATACAGGGACTATGCGGGAAACAGGTTAGCAACTGTTCAACCGACCACATTTATGCTTAGGGTTTATGCAAAGGTTTGGCCGAGGCAGGTTAGGATTTAGGATAGGGTTTGCTCCTAGGTGCTGCCAGGCTTTGCTGATAGTAGGTTCCTTACTGTCGCTTCGCCTCAGATGTTGCCTCACCCCTGGGCCAACCCTTGCAAGTTCACACGCTCCCAGGCCGAGTTACCTGGGCTCCGACGTCACGCTTTCCGTCTTTGACCTGCAGAAGGTCCTATTGAATGTATACCGGATCTTGCATGATTGAAAACATGTTCACATCATGCTCTTTTCGTTGCTATGCTACAGCATAGAGATGCTGCATCCGTGCGAAATCTGTACAGGAACTACACAAGATATCCAGGTGTCTAAATCAATCTAAACGGCATCCCACATCAAAGGCTTAAACTCAAACTTGTCAAGCCATAAACCGCCAATCTAGTGTCAGGGAACGCAGAACCAACAAGAAACCGCGTTCCAGCTCTCAAGCTGGGTTTCGTGGTGGTGTGTTCAGGGCTTAGGGTTTGGAGGTTTAGGGTTTCGGCTCTCGCACTCGGACAAGGTTTAGGGTTTAGGGTTCAGAATCTAAACCGCTACAGCAGTTTACGACAAGCCTTCGGTGACGAGACCTAAGTAGCATCCGTAAGTCACAGCCGAAAAACCAAACATAATCAAAGTAGATCAGTAACAGCCTTCGACTCTCAAGATCGAACCAGGCACGCAAGGCTTCACGCATCCTAGGACAAGGCCACATCCGGAGTGTAGGGTTGAATTTAGTGACGAAGGGGTGAGTAAGAAACATATCGAGCTTAGAAAGACACGCCCTAAACCTCACGCGGATGAGAAACTGGGGTTGCAACAGGCTTGGGTGCAGACATGACTCCGTCGCATCTGGCATGTAAGCCCTGAAGGTGCTGTAGAAATTCGCCATGGCTTGGACAAACTCCGCAAACGCATTGAAGGTGCTGTATGTCTTTGACATCACAAAGCCACCATTCATCTCCTGGAGTGCTCGACAACCTTGCCGCATCATTTCTGTCGGATATATCCTACGGTAACAAAGAACCCGAGCAATCACACAACGACAGTTGAAACGTCGGAATCTGCCGCAATTCTGTTGAAACACTGTTTCTTTCTGGCCGGGCCTTTGGCTCACACATGGGCCAGCTTTGCGCACTCGCAAGTGGGATTTCCAGCGTGATCGTCTCAGAGACGTGGACCACGTAAGTATGGCCTACTTCCTATTTTCAAACAAGTTGACATTCATTTCCAATCTCGCTGACATATGCCTCTCAATTCCCAAACCTACACCCTAAACTTCTTCTCCGGTACGCTAGAGTCACTAAAGCGAATCCATCCTCCGTTCTAACTACTATAAGTGACATACTGACAATGGAGGCGATGCCTTGTGGCAGAAGAGGCTCTCTTCAGCATACCGTGAAGAGTTGTACTCAGTACTAGCAGCAGCAAACGAAGTAGTGGTAGAAGCAGCAAGGGCAGCAAACGAAAATAAGTACTAATTACCGCTAGTCCCGGTAGTACTAGTAGTAGTAGTAGTAGTAGTAGTAGTAGTGGTAGTAGTAGTAGTAGCAGTAGTAGTAGTAGTAGTAGTAGTAGTAGTTGTAGTAGTAGTTGTAGTAGTAGTAGTAGTAGAGGAGGAGCAGTACGAGTAGTAGTAGTAGTAG